GATCACATAAAATATGTTTTTAACACCTCTATTTGCTCTTAATGTTTGAGAGCTTATAAAGGAACCTTTTTTTCCTACATTGGAATTTTAGCATGAACGAAGGGGATCGGTGGAAGGATAGTCTAAACCGTTGGTTTTCCACCGCTACGACCGAGGTTCGATTCCCGCATTGGGAACTTTTTTTTTCTGATTGAAAAAAAAATGCTCCAATGGACCCCGATTTTTGCAAAAGTCCAACCCCACCAGCGAGTGCAAGTAACCAAATGGGGCTCTGGCACATTTGTAAGTGCAAACTGCTTTTCACATGTGTAGACATGTGGTGCACTTACAGTAAAAGCAGTTGTTAACTACCCACCATGATTATCATGATCTGTACCACGTGTACTGGGGATAATAATAAAAGAGTATGAGCGAAGATAACTTTTTTTTTCATCATTTAAAAGTTGTTTGACATTTATATTTCAGTTATATTTAATAAAATATTGTATTTTTCTTTTGAAAATCTTGTTTGTTATTTTGCATATATTTCGAAAGTTGATATAAGTAAAATTTTACATCTTCGAGAAAAAAACAACCAATCTAAATATAGTTTCAAATATATCTTCTTTATATACAGTTACCAGCGTCATAATCAATTCTGTCACCGTTTGCTTTGTGAATGTAATAAATACCCAAATATGGCCATTTCTCATAACCATCGGTGGTTCAGTGGTAGAATGCTCGCCTGCCACACGGGCGGCCCGGGTTCGATTCCCGGCCGATGCATTTTTTTTACAATTTTTAAAACTCATTCATATATTATACAAGAATAACATCCACGGCGCCAATTTATAATTGTAACGAATAGTATTTGAATAAAAACATTTAATCGGGTAAAACCCGGGCGTTGCCCGGGTCATTCGGCTAGTTTTGTTATACTTAGAATAGAGTGATAACTATTGAAATTAATCAATAAATCATGTTATATTCTAAATTCAGGGAGTTTTGAAATTTTGTTGCTTAAACTGCTATTTTTCTTGAAACAGAACTTTTATTCAATTTTGACTTATTTGTGTGTGTTTTATTTATATTTATTCATTAATTATTATAATTAAAATGCAACATATATATAGTTGTATAACGACGTTTATATAACAATTATACCGCAAATGTTTCTTTTGAACGAAAAATCGAAATTTATTTCAAGAAGAAATACCGAATATTTCTATCCTTAGGGATGAAGTATGAAAGGATGAATTGTGAAGAGCAATGATAAACGGAAAAATAAAGTGTCCAGGGATAGGAATTCCCATCCCGTTAATCATTACTCTTCACAATTCATCCTTTCATACTTCATCCCTAAGGATAGAAATATTCGTTCTACAATCATAAGCCGCATTATATATATATATAACAACTATATATATTGCATTATATATATAGTTGCTAAAACATTCTTTTCAGAAAATGGAGATTTCCTGAAGGTATATAAGCTCTTCCAGAGTCAAGTATCGGATGTTTATGTCAAAAATCGGAATAACAATTACAACCTCAATATATGTATATGCAAATTGTAAACAATTCCAAAGCCATTTATATAAAGTTCATTTATTTTATATAAATGGTAAGTTTTGAACTAAAATTCTTTCTCGAGCCCTATAATTCAAGTTATAAGCTTAATTGTATATTTACTTATATAAAACAAAGAATGTTTTAAAGGCGTTTCATATATCAAAAAAGAACGTGATGTAAAAAGGTTAAAACAAATGTCGCAGAGGTTAGGCCATCTTCTATTATATATTGAATCCTTTATGATGAAACTGATTGGGACAATCTTTGTTGGTGACAAATATTGAATGCCACAGCAAACACTCTTTGACACTTAAATAAAGAGGAAACAAATATGAACAGTTGTTTTATTTTCATAGGTTCTTATATTTCTTACTAAAAGGAAATAGTGATTATTAGCAAAAAGTCTCACATTTGTTGTGTTAGGTGTTGAGTTACACCTGTATAAGAATTGTGAGGTTTCAAACCTTGTATTCTATCTATGTACTGAGAAAAAACATTTCGCCGTTTTTCTTTAACTTTTGCTAGATAGATACTAGGATATTAGCAAGTATAAACGAGATTATTGCTTAAGAGATTGTTTTAAAAAGGACCGTTGTACAGAATAATTTCAGAGTTAAAATGTAATGCGATGAGTCATACTGCCTGCCAATTGGATGATGATCATCCAGCGAGCCGTCCAATGGTGACGACGCAATACCCCGGACGTCAGCCGCTAGATATGACACCACCTCACGCCACTCGGGGGGGTGTCGCGACATTCCTACATTCTTCAACACATTTGACATTCCTACAGGTCTTTGAAATTATATTCTCCAGCATCTCTGGAAAATTCTAAATAAATGAAACTGCATGGCGCCATATCATGAATTGAACTTCCACTATCATTATAGATAAAAGTGAAGAGACTTAGGTGTCAGCTCGGGTAGTTGACTGCTGTATGCCTCAGGAAACGATGTTGTTTTATCATAGGGACTATTTTTTCTTAATAAAAGGAGAAAGTGGTTATTATCAAAAAGTTTCACATTTGTTGTGTTATGTGTTGAGTTATACCTGTATAAGAATTGTGAGGTTTCAAACCTTGTCTTCTATCGATACACTAAGAAGAATAAATAATAATTGCGTTGTTCCAACCCCTCAGCACTGCGATGGAAACTGTCTCCAGATGTCACCACCCTTTTCTTGCTACTTGGACATGTCGAGACCTACAGGAACTGCAATAACTGTCACAACACCCAACTTACTCTGGACCATATATACAGTTGCCCGGCCATCCTTGCAGCCCTCTATATGGCAGACATCAATCCAGAAGAGGACATCCATACGGACAAGGCACCTCGATTGGCCGGTATCGTGAACAGGGTGCACGGACCGATCTGATCTGCTCCATGGACAAGACACCATCACCACCAATTGTGGTATGGAAAGAAATAAGAGATATATATAGCAACCCCTTGGAAGGATTTAAATATGTAAATATACATTCATCAGACGATACAATCCGAAGACAATAATCCTTAAACATGATGACTAAGTAAATCACTCTTCTTCACTTCTCCCTACAAGCAACCCTCTTTGTTCACGATTCATCTACAGAAATACGATTTCTGTTTGAGTAGGATGCCTTATTCTAACTAAGAAACTGTTCGGAGTTGAAATTTGAATTTTTTAGCGATTGTTCAAGACCTCAAAAAAAGGAATAAATCCTAATATTTAGGTTCCTCTCTCAAACTTTCTTGGAATTACAAGCAAAAATCTGTCATAATTCTCGATGTAAACGTACTTAAATATTTATATAAATGGGTAATATATTAATATAGGGCTTAGAGAGAATTGGCTGTCGTTCTAGACTCGTTCGCAGAATGGTCTAATGTTTTAGTAGATTATAATTTTCCTGACAAAACTCGGCGTAAAAAAAACTCAATTCTACAAGACAAAGAAACATCCAAGCCTATATTCTAAAATTATAAATGTAAATTCAAAAATTGTTACTGTGTACATTAGATAGTGTAAATGTGTTTTAATGATTATTCATAAGTCATAATTATAACAAGTTTCGCTAGTTATACATAGATAAAGACAGAAATTGACCTGGATCTGAATTATTCGTTATGTCAGATCGGGTTCTTTAATCATACCTTGATAAGTAAAAACGTTATATGGGACAAATCAACACAATTATTTAAAACTAACCTGATTTAACTATTAGTTGGCCTTTAGAATTGAGTAATTATCAGGCGTTCTATTTGTTTTTACTTATTTCATACACGTTCAAATTCATTTTTTATTCCTTTTATAGAGTCTCCATTTTAAGTTGTGAACACTCACTCTATGTTTTCTCTCTCTCTTTTTGTGTGTTAGTGTTGAATTCTTTTTCTACTTCCCTTTTCAACATGCTCTTCATTGTCGAAATATATTTTGTTTTAGCAAATTAACATCTTTCCTGAATAAAGAGTAGATTTTAGTCAGAATATCTGTTTTAATTTCAGGATGAAGTAAATAGTAAATATTTCGAGAACAGAAATGGTTTAATTTATCTTTTCTTTATATATATATAAAAGTCAATTTCTGTCTGTCTGTCTGTTTCGCGATAAACTCAAAAACTACTGAACCAATTGGTACCAAATTTTGCATGTCGCTTTTTATAAACCTGAGGAAAATTTTCTGCTGCATTTTGATTAGTATTTTTGGCTATTTATTTTTTTCATTTGAAGAACTTTTTTTTACGCGGACTAATCCGGAATGGAATGAATACCTAAATATGGCAATTTTTTTAAAGCATCGGTGGTTCAGTGGTAGAATGCTCGCCTGCCACGCGGGCGGCCAGGGTTCGATTCCCGTCTGAGGCATTTTTTTAAACAATTTTTAAAACTCATTTATATTATATCTTCTATATATATAAAAATGAATGTTTGTATGTTTGTTTGTTTGTTTGTTGGTTTGTATGTCCGGTATACAAATTCGCAGTAGTTCACTAATTCAAACCAAAATTTCCATACATAGGTAAAAAATACGGGGAAGACGATAGGCTATTTTAAAAAATATATAAATCAATTATTAAAACTATATATTATTAGTCAGAAAATGATGATGACGATATTGCTGTATCATGTAAGATTATCAGATACAAAATTATATCGGGAAAAATTCCAAAAAGCAGAGACCACGGGTGAAACCAGCTCATTATTTTGTACGCAGGAACAAAATTCTAACAGAAAAACATTCATCCGAGCAGAAAACAAAAGCCAGATCATCTTTCTATAAAAATATCGCTTCTCAGACACAAAGTTTGGAGCGGGACGTTTCACAAGAGTGATATCCACGCCGCCCATTTATAATTGTAACGAATAGTATTTAAATAAAAACATTTAATCGGGTAAAACCCGGGCGTTGCCTGGGTCATTCGGCTAGTCTATATATATATATAAAAATGAATGTCTGTGTGTGTGTCTGTGTGTGTGTGTGTCCTCTATGGATTCAAAAACCATACATCCAATCGCCGTGAAAATTTGCGATATTATTAGGCATATCCCCGGAAAGGTTTACGAAAAATAATTTCTTGAATATCTTAAATATCCTTAGAGTTATTTGCAGATTTGTAGCCTTAACTCGCAAGCGGGGGGCGGGTGACCTCCGGGAACTACGTCCATCTTCCATAAACGACCATGATTTTATTCAACTTATCGAGTATTTTTCAAGGGACCGGGAAAATATGTAGATAAAACGATGATTTTGTAATGTAGAAAATTAGGAAAGACAAAATTCAGGATGACACGGCACACAGGGACCGGGAAAAAATAATCACTTTATCGAGAGATTCACGACCATGATTTTATTCAACTTATCGAGTATTTTTCAAGGGACCGGGAAAATATGTTCACTAGATAAAACGATGATTTTGTAATGTAGAAAATTATGAAAGACAAAATTCAGGATGACACGGCACACAGGGACGGGGGAAAAATGTTCACTTTATCGAGAGATTCAAATTTACGAGTTTCAATTTATCAAAATATATCTTTTTTTTTTTTAATAAGTTTATAGAGATTTGTTTTAACAAATGTTCGTTAGACAAACCTTTACTCGGGTAAAACCTCGGGCGAAGCTGGGTACGTCCGCTAGTAATATAATATAATACGGTTATGATTGTAGAACGACATTTTAAAATTATCCCGCATGTGTTTCTTTTGAACGAAAAATCGAAATTTATTTTAAGGAGAAATAACGACTATTTCTAACCCTAGGGATGAAGAATGTAAGTATGAAAGGATATGAATCTCTGGACACTTTATTTTTCCGTTCATCATTACTCTTCACAATTCATCCTTTCATACTTCATCCCTAGGGTTAGAAATAATCGTTATTTCTCCTTAAAAAAAATCGATTTTTCGTTCAAAATAAGCACATGCGGGAAAATTTTCAAATGTCGTTCTACAATGGTTTAATTATTTAAACGGTATCTACAGAACAATGTTGTTTGGTAGGTCATAAAGCTGAAGTAAAAGGCTTATCACTGATTAGTGATTTTATAAATTTTCCATATACACATTTTTTAAATTCAAAATAAGAGTGATGCAAATATGTTCATTCATTTTACATATTTTGAGGTTAAAAAGTAGAGGAAACCTTTTCAAAATATAGAATGCTGGTTGCTGGTAGTGAGCATTGGTTGGATGCTATGAGAGATTAGAAATCTCCTAAACCTCGGTGATGTAAAGGCAGGGGCTCTATCTGTAAGGAGACGCCTCGGACAACCACTTTGTAGCACCCTTTTTATTACTGACGCTTTGTAATGTATTGGCTTAGCCGATATTTTCCTTCAAATGTTGTGTATACGGATATTATGACGATATACATATGTATTTTATAATATTCAACTCTCACGATGGTGTTCCACACACAAACATATATAAGCTATATAATAAAGGTCAATTACAGAAACTGTACTGTCGTGTGTAAAGATGTTTAGAATAAAAATAATCTGAGAGGTTGTGAGAAGAACGAAATTTCAAATAAAGAAAGTTGTCCTCATCAGACCACATTTTCTGACTCAATATCTTGCCTTCTTATAATGTTACATCATAGTTGATTCGCCCCTCCATTTATTCAGAATGATCTCTGTGATATGTTAAATATATTTAATATTAATATCAGCAGATTATATACTATAGTAACTTTCCTTTTGTAACATTGTTATTGGATAAGCGATAGAACTCTTCCTTTTTAGGTAATCAAATAAAATAAAGCATGAAGGAAGATGCTTCATGCTTTATTTTATTTGATTAACATTGTTATTTAGAAAGAGGGGATCATATATCGCCGCAACTCTTTTTATTAACGCGATTAAAGGAAGCTTTCGGGCAAGCCCTTCTTCAGCTAACTATAGTGTACAAACAAGGCAAACGAGAGAGAGATTATATAACGTTTTTAAAGAGAAATCTATGTAAATATAGTACAAAATATCTTAAAGAAATTTACATAATTGAATAAATATAAAGAATCAACTATAGACAGTTCAAAGGATTTAGTGGAGAGAAATAAAAATGGAATGGCTATTGTATCCGTTTACCATGAACATTGTTATTGTTTATATCTTGATTATTTATTTTTTGGAAAGAGGGGCGACCGAGGCGAAGAACCCAAGATCACCAACTACGAGGAAGACAACCAAATAAATAAGCATACCAAACTTTTACAAGTAAATATTTAATTAATTACTTTTTATCTACATTTATTATAGAACACCCCGCTTGGAAACATTTATGACACCAAGTAGGAGAAAAACGAGGTCGATTACCTTGCAAAGATGCAACTTGGCGCAACAATATGAAGATCGTTAAATCAGGGAATCACTGCCCGCTCTAGGAAGAGATGAACGCCCTGGATGCTCGAGAAAGGAAATTGATCTAAATAAGCATAGGACGCTTCTACCGTCAAAGTAATCGTCAAAACTAGACGCCAAATATATCAGAACATAGCTGGACTCTTCTCAGTTTGCCAAAGCTGGTGTTGTGGCTTTGTTACCGACCCGAGGCGGCTAGTTTGCGGCGATGGTCAATAGATGGCGTCTAGTTTTGACGTTTATTTTGACGGGAGAGGCGTCCTACGCTTTTATATATAAACATAAAGGTCACCTCTCCCGAAAAAATAGACGCTGGTGACAAAGCCACGCCACCAGCTTTGGCAAACTGATTTCGGGCTAATAGCCCTCGTCAGTCTATGACGACATTTATTTCATTTGATACTCAGGGGATTAAATTAAATATTCACAATCTGCCAAATAGATGTTTAGCTGGTAGAGTGGCTAGGCCAAATCTATGATCAAAATATAGATGGCGCTTAGTTTTAGGGTCTATTTTGCCGGATTCTGGTTGAATTTTCACCCGGAAAATTTTCCATCTATATCTGGGCCACAGATTTGGCCTAGCCACTCTACCAGCTAACCATTTCAGGTAGAAGACCTTGCCGGACACTCGAGCCTGGCAATGGACGATGCTATCGACCCATTATCATGCTGCTAAGTATCCTGTAGTAAGTCGTTGGGAGGATTTGCCGTCGAAGACTAGCCAAATGTTTCGGTGAATAAATCTTCAATGTCTCTAATAAATATGCAGATACCATTCTAAGGCCTTGCTGTTAGGCAGACAGCGAATGACAGTCACAATCTGGGCAAGGGATATGTCGGTGAGAAAGAGTATGGCCTTCTCACACAACTCCACAGGGGCCAGCTAGATGAGGAAAGAGAACATGATCAAAGCAACTTCTCAAATGCCCCGCGGCTTCGCTGACCCTTAGAGATTAAGTCGGTAAAGATGGGGGAAGAGCGACGTCTGGCCCAGAGAGAACGCCCGAGTTTCGACAAGGACTATTTCATTCTCCATCTTCCGCTTAAGATACAACACATTTTCTTGACGTAACCTCGACTCCGGAAGGCTCGAGGGACCTTATTGCTGATCCATTTTTTTTCTTTTAAAACGCAGATAGATTTTTTAAATAATTATTCCGACATTTCATAAAAAGAATGATCCCATTCGATGGATGAAAAGGTCCTATTTTAACATTTTGCTGATGCTGATAATTCTTGTGAAATCTAGCCTCTTATTTAGATATGGGCAGCACAGTGGTCATTGGTTATAGTACCAATATAGTCATTGGTTTTTTGAGTGATACGCGGTCGCAGAAATCCGATAGAAGTAGGATTCTGTTTAGACGTCCCCGGTTCTGATGTCTGTATACTGCATAAGCTCCTTCACAGTATCGAAGAAGGCAGAAGCGTCGAAGAGGTCGTCCCGATACGAAAGATTTGTGAGAGCATATTCTTAACAATATGGTGAAACCATAGACGACTCTTCTCAATTGCTCTGGTCGCCGAGGATCCACGCGCCAGAGCTGTAATGGTTTACAGATGGTTCTTTAGTGGCGTAGATACATGTCATGGAAGAACTTCTTCGGACGGTGAAGGGAACAGGCTTTGCTGTCAGTAATCACCAACAAGGAAGCTAATCTCCACTTCATGCCTTTTGAGAAAACAGTGAAATCAAATATTTTCCAGAACACACAGAAGCAAAGCCGCTCACGTTTAAGGACATTTGCGAGCTCATTTGGATTACCTTAAAGAATGCGTGACACGCGACAGCTTTGTGTTACCAGGTTTTCTTGTGAGAACCATAAGCATCCTGGCCAAGACGCTTTCTTCTTTGCAGCGTTGGATCTAACGATATGCTAATCCAGTTTTCCATTGTTGGTGAATGCCTGAAAAGAAGCTCTTTTTGTCAAGTCCAACTTCTGGAAACTCTCAACGACCAAATAGATGTTCTCGTTCTTTAATAGATCCCTATGTTGATTCTTA